ATAAGGTGAACTGTGCTCTGGATATGCCTATTTATTTCCTTTAGTTATAATGGAAACCTAGAATAAACAACTCAGATGTGTACATTTCCATGACAGATGTCTACATTTGAGCAGACAAAAATCACCTTGGCTGCTCATACTGTCCTTACAAGCAGTCAGCATTCACTCTGAGCTTAGCTCACCTGCAGTTACCATGCTCCTTTGTAGAAGACAATGCCAGAAACTGCCTTAGAAGGATCTCAGAAGCCTTGCAGGCAACCACTGGTAGCAAGGGCACATGTGGCAGCTGAAGACTACAAAGTATGATAGCATCCACTCACACACCGTGTGTGCTGGATGCACAGAGAGTTCTGCCAGTCAGCTCTGGGAATACCATCAGGGTTGCCTCTCGCTCTACTCCAAGTGCCTCTGGTGGGCAGGTACCATTAGTGGACAGCCATTGCAGTGCACATGGCAGGAGAAAGGCAGTCCACAGGTCTGTACGGGTATCCTTTTCATCAGGGTCTAGCACCCCGTGCGTCACTTCTTGCTCTCTCTCTCTCATTCCCCTGTTCATGTCCTTCTGCTTTAATAGCTAGTCGCCCAGCAAGAGACATCGTGCCTGGTGCTGATATAGTGACTCTCTTGAGAGATGCCAGTATGTTTGTCCATAAATACTTTAGTACTTTATACACATTGGAATAGCATCAACAGAAGAGCTGGAGAACACTTTCCTCTAGAACAGCCCATGATGTAGTCTTATCAGGCATGGAAAGGTGGGATTTCAAGCAAAAAGGGAATCAAATACTTGTCTCCCACCCTCTCTATTCTAAGCAGTGAGCTATTGTTCAAAAGCAATAGTCCGCCTTTCTGCCCATACTTTATTAAGATTGTGTTTTGTGTCTTTCATTTTATCACAAGTGGCTGGAAATGAAATATTCTGGAAATGGCAGGAACAGTTGGTTTCAATATTTCTGAACTATTTCTTTCAACCCAGCATGAACTCTATTTAAAAAAAGGATTTTGTAAGCTTTGCTTTTGGCTAAAATTATAAGAAGATACTGACCTAAATGTACAGTGATTATTGGTTGCCCCAGAAGCGTGCTTTTCAGTAAAAAAGGTACTTGAAAAAAATATGATCTAGCTGTCCTGTCCCTCTAACTGTCTAGTACGATGGACTAATGAGCAATATGATCCAATATTTAGACTGAAGGTAGAGCTGATTTTTATAGCACTGGAGAAGATCCCAGAGTGGACAGAAAAGCAGAACAGACCTTTGTATAGACTTTAGTGTTTCGAAAAGCCAGGAAGCATACTGCAGCAAGTGGTCCAAAAAGTCTCATGAAATTATGTGAAGCTCTTTCTGAGGCTGGATCCATTGAACAATTTTTGGAAGTAACACTAATCTGGAAGAAAAATAGTGTTCAGATAGGTATCAGCTTCCATATTTTACTACATTTTTGTGTATATATATACAGTTTATATAATATATGTATAACTATATATATAGTTATATGTACAGTTTTATATTAATCATGACTAGAAAATTTTGCCTTATGTCGTGCACGCTCTCTTTCTGTTTATATGTATACATATGTGTATGTATAAATATGCACACACATATGTATAAATATATATATACAGCATAAGAAAGCTGGGTTTTCCAGTTTTGATCAAATACACTGAATACATATGAAAGTATATACAATCAGTACAGACTGACTGTATATATGTTAGAGTGGCCTTTGTAATGTTTTTTTGTGGTGTTTAAAAGGCACTCTGATTTGAAGGTTATGACTCAGGCGAGCCTTTTATATAACAAAATAGAGAAGGGAGAAGCCAGGAGAGACCTCTGTCAGATGCTTTCCCAAATGTCTGTAACAGCAGTGGCTGAATCTTCTCCGTTCTGGGGAGCGCTGGTGTTACACCTCCAGCTTTTGCTGACACAGAGACTTCTGTTTCCACTTTGTTGGCATGAAATGCAAGATGGCAATCAGGTGGGGATAAAAATTTAAATATTAAATTAATGTTTCATTTTTATTGTGTTTGTGTTAGTTGTTTACAAATAAATAGATAACTGAATAGAAACACAGATAATCAGTTGAATATGCATGAGCACATACCTCAATTTACAGTACTGTCTGTATCAAGGTATGAGTGAGTTAGTGACATCAAGGCAATTGCACACTGAGGCTGAGTTACACACCCCAGTAGCAGAACTAAAAGAAAAAGCTCCTTTGAAATGGCAGAAATGTGTTGCAGTCACAGCAGGCTGTCCAAGTTGTGCAAGATGTGGAGGGATGAACCAGTTCTGCTGACAAGCAAGCCCCTGCATCCTAATTCAGCCTCTAGCTAAACTTCAGTCAAGTTCCTCCCTGTTCCTGACATGTGAGGTATGAAAGTTTCTTATACTGAAGGCGGTCACTGAGGAGGCTGCTGGACAGGACAAACTACCAGTGGCTGCCCCATATTAACCCTTTCCACTACTGGATTTACTGACAAGCCAGCAAGCAGTGGAAATTTTTCTGCACTCAGATAGACAGGAACAAACTCCTCAGCTGGAAAACCTAATCCCTTCTCCTGTCAGGGCACTCCAGAAAATCGACTGTCAAAATTTCCCCAGTGTGAAATAACGTTAGTAGGACCCCACATTTTCATAAAGACCTTTGTCTGTCCTCTTAGAGTTTATTTCTCCTCTCTCTCTGCCTCTTGTGCAATGTTTTTGCAAATGGATTAAATATTAGATTCTTGCCATAGTATATATGGGAGCCGGCATATACTGAGACAGCAGTACTTGCCAGATATATTATATGCCAGCTATCCCACATCGGATACACTGTGCTGGCAGGCATACTGTGCCAGCTTCTGACAGCAAACGCTACGCCAGCTTCTGCAGTTTCTGACCAGGTCAGCTGTGGAATTATAGAAAATAAGGCTAGACATGACATTGCAAGTTGTGTAGCTTATCCCTCTACCCAAAGACAAGATCAGCTGCTTCTGAACCATTCCTGAAAGATGACCATCTTACTGGTTCCTAAAACCAAGCAGTGATAGTAATTCCACAATCCCAGGTTAAATTATTCTAGTAAATAACCATCAGACAGTTGGTACTGCTTTTTTATAATGTCTAATATAAATCTTCCTTGCTACAATTTATGCTTATTACCTCTAGCTCTGTTCTGAGAGAATGAGGAGCATAGTTTATATTCTTCTTCTTTGGCAGTTACCTTTAAAATATCTGAAGACTGTTAGCCCATCTTTCCTCCCACAACTCAGTCATCTCTTTTATAGACAAAATAAACATAACTCCTCTGGTCCTTCTGTATAGGTCTTATTCTTTAGATTGCAGTTCATTCTCATTGCACACCCCTGGACTCTTTATGAGAGTTAAAGTAAAGGACAACCATTAAACAATATCACCTCATGACTTCGCTATAATCAGAGAATCTAAAATGAAAGTGCGAGGGTGAATTGTTATTTCTTTCCAGAGATGTAATATAGTCTATTCTTTCATTTTTTCAATGAGATCTTTTACCTCTGCTAACCTGAGACAATTGTTGAGGTGCTTTGAAGGCAGTACCACCTTAGGCTCTATTTTGCTTGTGATTGTCATAGATGCAATTGTATAGATATCTGCCAAACTCTCTGCAAGGAATGTATGACCTCATTACACTGGGAAGAAAGGAGCACACATGGTCCCTTAATCTAGTAATAGATATTGATATCTCATTGATACTATTTTACATGGAGGAAATGTATTTCTTTTATGTTTGAAAAGATCACTGTGAGAAACAGCTATATAATTCAGAGGTTGTTTGAGAACCCTTATTTGCCTGGTCTGGTGCTGGAGGGCTGTGACAAGTTCCTTACAGGTCTCACGCTTCCTTAAGTCGACACTCTTTGAGCCACTTTTAGTTGACTGAGTGGTGATGTCACCCCATCAGATTGAGATAATTGTCATGCACCAAAAGGGGGAATCTGCAGAGACTGCAATATGGAAGAGATTTTTCCACTCTCTTATTCACAGGGTGCTAGCATACACACTCTCATCCCTGGTATCCAATTTTGACTTAAGGGAGCAAGCACACAGCTTGAAACGTGTCCCCAAATCCCTGCCTGCACCCTGCTGTAATAACAATGCCGATACAAACAGGAACAGAGCATCTACCTGATGTGGCTCTGTGATATGTCAGCAGTTGGAGCAGTGGTTGAAAAAGCACAAAACACCACAAGCCCCTCAGCTGAAGAAATCCTAACAGTGACCACACATGACTGCGGTACACACTGGAAGTGGCACAGATACAGATAATGTATGTGTCCACAATGACAGGCTTTGCAGGTAAGTTCAGTAAAACTGTTTAGACATGCCAGGAGCCCTTACTCAGCTGTAGGTTGCCATGCTGATGTCTCCTAAGAGGAGAGCCAAGATGAGAAACAACAGCAGTATATACCCTTTTCCCCTCACAAAGATGAAAAAGACACCTTTCAGGTGCTGAATATGAAATTTGTTTAGCTGTGTTTACTCTTCTCTTTGTCAAAGCCAAGTAATTTATTGACCAGACATAAACAACAGGTGTGTTCTTGATATCTCTTCTACATGCAACAAGGTCAAATGCTGTAAAAGCTCCAAATAATCCTTAATATATAATGGCCTGTGCCAAAGCACTGTAATAAAAGACTGATCTGTGCATGGAGACAATTTGTATCTTTAGTCCCACTTGCACAGAAGGAAAAGATCTTTTCTCTCCTTATTTTTCCTCAAACTAAAATGTTTTTTGAGAGGTTAGTGTATTTTTCAAACTTTCCCATCTTTAAAAAAAAAAAACCTTAAAAACAAGAAAGGAAACAACATAAAATAAAAAATAATCCTTAATCAAAGGACTTAAATCTTAATTATTTTCTACTTTTTTGTTTTATTTTCCCAAGGTATTTCCCTCCCCAGTTCCCCACTGGTCAACACTGCCGGGTGAAATGATTTTTCAGCAAATACAGTTCACTTCTGCATTAACAGTGTCTCTTACCTTTATGTAACAGTAAGGATGGCAGCTTGTCATTGAAACATTTGTTCCTTGCAGATGTTCCCTGCCACAGCTCACTTTCCAGTTCTGAATGTCCTGAATCTTTCTTTCCTCCTTTTCAGTCTGTGTGATTAGTACCATTATTTGGATATCTTTGGTACTGTTTCTTCTCCTTCTTTCTACATGTGCTGTCTGATGAGTGATGATTTGGGTGCCTCCATGAGAAGTTTATTCCCATCTCTTCATTTTAAATCATAACCACTGGTCTTCTCAGACAACAAAGCAAAGTTTTTCTGGGCTCTGCCTGACCAGCAATTCCAGGGTGTAATTTCACCACCTAACGGGCAGGGAGGCAAAATAGTCTGCAAGAATCAACTTGCAGAAAGGGAGTTTACATAAGTGCAGTGGATTGCCATAGTGCTGGAGATTATGCTAGCCTATAAAAGAAAATCTTAACCGTCACCACTGTAAACTACAGACACATTCATATTTGGTCAGTTGCTCTTTTGACTTATACAGAGAGGTTATTCAAGCATGTCCTAAAACTACTGCACATTTACTGAGGAAGTTGAGGAAATAACCTGCATATTTGTCTCTGACACAAATAACTCAAAATATATCCCTATGAATCCCTTTTTCCACATTGCTAAAATGAATTGGTTCATTTGCTCCATATTTAAATTATTTGCCAAGCCAACACCCACAAGGCATGCCAATTGACACCAATCACAGTATTTTTTATGACAGTAAGTCTTTTCTGCTGAAATGTAAGCCAATCAGTAAAGTAGCAGCTAATAATACTGAATACTGCTTTGCAGTGCTTCATTGTCCATACAAAGAATCATTAGCAAACACAGTTTTATATTTCATAAATAATATATCCTAAAAAAGGATTGGCTCTATTTAAGCCAGCTTAGTTGAGAAGAATTCATGAGATACAGAATTTCTTAGGTTTGTTCAAATTTGTGGTACACTCAAATATTTGAGAAACATTTCTCAGACTTCCAATCTCTGCCTACTGCCTTTGCATGTAAATATCCCCAAATTATTTACAAGTTTGAACATATAAAAGATCACTGATGGCATCAACATTAATTGTCTTAGCCTTTGAGAAGGATTAAACTACAAAAGCAATGTCCTAGGTCACAAATTCCAGCAAAAAATAATTTCCCACAAGAGTACCCCATGCATGGGTCAAAGAAAACTGAATGCCTGGGCACACAGAAAAAAACATCGGCCACAGATTCCTTTTACTGAGGGTGGCTCTAATCATCGCTGGGGAGCAGCAAGATGCCCATACCCCGCCAAAGTTCTCAGTGTATCAGACATACCAGAAACAACAAACCATGTGTTTCTGAAGAACGTCATAGCTTAATCAAAGGAAGTTTCACTGATGGGATTGTACCTTCCAAACATAAGGGCCCTCTAAGCTCTCCTTGAACAATGCAGTTTGATATCACCCTCTGCATGAAGGTTAGGAGTGCTAGGTACAGTCTAATTTTAAGACATTATAAATGGTTCCCACTAAGATAAAGAGTGAGGAAAGCAGGAGCTTTGGGGGACAAAGAAGACCCAGCATACAAAGTAGTTCCATTCTTCCCTCCTGTCAATTCTCCCTCACCTCAAAGCCAACATAAGTTTTTCCCAGCAGAGTTATGGACCCATATCAGGACTTTAAAGCATCTCCTTATACCTGTCCTTGACCTTATTATGCTGGGAATTTTTACATACCCATCTTTTACATACATTTTTACTCCTTTGTGGCCTAAAACAGGCTGCAGAGGAGTTAGCTGCTGTCTCAATTGCACCTTTCTTGTGCTTCCTTCCATCCCAGTGGAATGATTTTCTTCAGAAGCTGTGATCCTGCAAGAATTCCCTGATATATTCATTTTTGTATAGCTTAGAGGAATTTGATAATTCACTAAATCAACTCCAGACATTGTGGAATTCCTTATTAAGCATCTGATGATGTGGTCAGCTCCATCCACTTCATAGCCAAGTATAACAGAAGTGTGACTTCTGCTCGCCTGCCCTCCGCTTTAGAAACATGCATCTTCTGGACATCAAGGGAAGCGACTATTAGTACAACACTGTCTATGGACGGCTCTCAGCATCCTGTGCAGCCTGTTTGACCTTTAGTGGTATGGAAAATCTTCACAATTAAATGGCAATTAAGCCAGTGAAAACTGATTTCATCTTCATATGTGGAAGCGGGAAGAATGGAGCTTGCAATGCGTCAAGATAGTGAGGACAGGTTGCTGGCTGCCAGGATGCCTTACTGGTCTAAACCAGTCTCCAGGCATTATTAGGCCATGTGACCAAATTAGTTTCAGTGCTAATTTACAGAGCTTCTGATGAAAGACTCTCTAATTATGGTTTGGAACAAGGACTGTAGGTAGTTAAGAAGTTAACATTAGCCACCTTTTGCAAATCAAAGTGTTATTTTTGTTACTTTGTTGATTATAATTTCTTTGTTCCATAAAGCCACGTGAGACGCTCTTTTATATCACAATGTGAGTGCCTCTTACTGTTACCCTTAGAAATGTCACAACAGATTTTGATATTGCCTTGGCAGAAGAACTGCACCTCTCTTCCTAAATGAGATTCACTAGTATTTTGATTTTATCAGATGTCACAATACTTTCTTCTCCTGTCTAGTATTAAAACATATAGAGAGCAGTATGCTGGACAGTGACAACCCACAGTTCAGAGTCAAAAGATGTTTGTCTCATAAATATATGTTTCCATATTCAGGCACCATACTGATAAAAGTTGATAGAGACCTCTAGCTCTGCTTGAATAAGTCTGCAATTTTTAAACTGCCATCTTTTTAATGCATCAGTTTCACACAAAATTCAGCGGTACGCAAACAGAAGCTATTTAATATGCACTGTAGACAAAGTAGTCTGCCCAAATGATTTTTTAAAAATAATTCCAAATGTTAAAAATTCAAGCCAAATATATATATATGAAAAATTTCCATAGGAATTATCTCCACAAGTGCAAAATATCATGCATGAATTAATGTATGCATCCCTGTTGTTACTCGGTAGCTCTATAGGGGGTGAGAAAATGGCTGTGAGTATAGCATTTACAATCCTTGAAAACTTCCAAAGAAAATTAGTATCTACATTATGTACCTCCTTATATTCATGTAACAAAAAAGGTCTGATGCAAAGTTTAGCATTGCTCATCATTTGAGCTAACTGAAAAGGAATTTTTGAGGATGCTTTTCAGTGAAATGTTTTCAACTAAATTCTTGCTTTTACTGAGATATTGTCAGATTAGACCAAATTTGCATGGAAGCCTGGTAGGAAATGCAGGAGGAGATATTTTGGCTATTGTATGGCTGCAAAATACTATTTAGTCAAATCTCTTAGCACAGCTGACAAAAATACTGTAATATGCCATTCTGGGAGTCGTTGATAAAGTCATTGCTTCTGTATTCTAGAAATGCCTCCTTTTTCCTGGGAGCTGCCACTTCCTAAACATGCTACAAAGCAGCATGCCATAATCTCTTAGGTCACCTTTTTAAAAGAAGAAATGAATGTTATTTTAGGACACAGAACATGTCAATGAGTCACAATTCACTATTTAAGAAAGAAACAAGAAAACTTCCCTCAGCGGACTAATGAATGAGATACATTAATACAGCAAGTCCTTCTTATTTCCTTCGGTGAGGGATATACTCACATTCTGGCAGCCAATAAAGCTTGGGAGGCCAGAAAATGTATTTGGGCCAGTTGAGTGTGTTTGTCTGCCAAATTAAATAATAGACCAGAGACACTGGAACAGGACTAGAGGATGTAGAAGATAAGTGAAAGCAGTGCCAGCTGAGAGGTCTAATGGTCTTACTGGAAAGTGGCTTGAACAGCTTGCAGCTGAGATGAGACAAAAAGTCCATGTGGATAGAGAAGCCCATCTGTCTCTGAATACGTTTTTCCACTTACTGTTTAGGAAAGATGCAGAAATGATTTGGGTTCCTTGAGTTGCATAATGAAAGGAAAATGGAAAAAAATGGTCATGTTCTTCTGACACTGCACCATGACTTCAGATCAGCTTTTGCTTGTTCAAGAGAAAACCTTCTGCTTGAAGAAGCATTAAAGCATATGCCTAGCTTCAAACAGTTCCCTATTAATAAAACTGAATGAATAGTCAGAAAATTATCTACAACACATAGCTGATTCTAGCAGTGAAGAAGCTTTATCCAGATGAAACTGATTGAACATATAAAATAAATGCTTTCTATGGTTCAAGACAGATTGACTGTATACCTGGGAAGTCCCAGAAGAATGTCTCCTCCAGAAGAGGTGAGTATAGAGAAAGAAAACCCTACTGGAGTTACCCAGCATCCCAGAGGCATGAGGCTGCCTAAACCAAAAGGTAGTCTCTAGTCATCTTCTAGTGCGCAATAAGCTGACAGCTGACAGCTGATCAGAGAGTTTATTATTTTCAGTGCAATGGTGGCCTTTAGAGAACTAATAGCTTCTAGCTAAAAGAAGACTTGCTGAACAATTTGGGTGTGATTTAAGCAATCAGTAAACAGTTGGCAGGTTTAGGAATGCTGCTTAAACTGAGGTGGATTTTGTTCTTAAAGGCTTATATTTTTCAAGCATGTTCCCCAGCAGTCTAAGTGTACTGTATACTTCTCTCCCTCCAAATCCCAGAATAGACAAGATTGAAGGACAGGTGTTAACAAAGCTGAAATAATTTTTTAAATTTATAGAGTATCACCAGTGTGAGCCATGTTTGCCTAAAAGATGTGGCAATACAGTATGTTTGCCAAAATGCTTAAAATCTGAAACAAAGTTACATTTATATCCAACATGTTAGATTAAAATAAAATATCCAAGTAGTATAGATTTTTTTTTTTTTTAATATAACATTCAGGTCTAAATATAGTGGACTAAACAATTGTTGTTAAGGCAAACATAAAAGTCATGGCCAGATTACATAAAAATATTTTAGGGGAGATATTTGGAACATGGGTATAGTGAAAAGTTCTAGGTACTGGTGGACAATGGAATATGCTTCAGGGAGAGCAGCATAAAAAGAAGGAGCAGTCTAATGATTATTGTTGTTTTTATAGGCTCTACTGTGCTAACCCTGAGTCACAAATAGGAAAAAAACCCAAACATTTTTTCAAAGTAGTTTCTTCCCTGAAGAATTTACCTACATAGTGAAAGAATAAAATACAGGGATGAAATAGGTATGCAGTGGGAAAGAAGGCAGAAGCATAAAAACAATAATGAACATTCTTGCTTATTTTTAACTGATAGGAGCAACAGGAGGGAGAGAAAGAAA